TGATTTTGGAGCCCCAAAAATAAAGTCAACCACTGTTTCCACTGTCTCCCCATCTATTTCCCATGAAGTGATGGGACCAGATGCCATGATCTTAGTTTTCTAAATGTTGAGCTTTAAGCCAAATTTTTCACTCTCCTCTTTCACTTTCATCAAGAGGCTTTTTAGTTCCTCTTCACTTTCTGACATAAGGGTGCTGTCATCTGCCTATCTGAAATTATTGATATTTATCCCAACAATCTTGACTCCACCTTGTGCTTCTTCCAACCCAGCATTTCTCATGATGTACTCTGCATATAAGTTAAATAAGCAGGGTGACAATATACAGCCTTGATGTACTCCTTTTCCTATTTGGAACCAGTCTGTTGTTCCATGTCCAGTTCTAACTGTTGCTTTCTAACCTGCATATAGGTTTCTCAAGAGGCAGGTCAGATGGTCTGGTATTCCCATCTGTTTCAGAATTTTCCACAGTTTATTGTGATCCACACAGTCAAAAGCTTTGGCATAGTCAATAAAGCAGAAGTAGATGTATTTCTGGAACTCTCTTGCTTTTTCAATGATCCAGCAGATGTTGGCAATTTGATCTCTGGTTCCTCTGCCTTTTCTAAAACCAGCTTGAACATCTGGAAGTTCTCAGTTCACATATTGCTGAAGCCTGGCTTGGAGAATTTTGAGCATTACTTTACTAGCATGTGAAATGAGTGCAGTTGTGTGGTAGTTTGTGCATTCTTTGGCATTGCCTTTCTTTGGGATTGGGATGAAACATGACCTTTTCCAGTCCTGTGGCCAGTGCTGAGTTTTCCAAATTTGCTGGCATATTGAGTGCAGCACTTTCACAGCATCATCTTTCAGGATTTGAAATAGCTCAACTGGAAGTCAACTTCATCCAAACCTTAATCTGAGAGCAGTGAACACAGCTTCCCACAGGGAAGATCAGAGAGCAGCGACCAGCAGAAGATGGAATGGATCCCAGGCAGACAAAGCCAACAGATGGATATCGATAGATCCAGGTCTAGATGAAAACAGGGCTCCACAAACACAGAGAAGGGATTCTCATTGTCGTGTGTTCTCTCTTTCCTTTCAAATGCCCAGGCCACTGATACTTCTGAAGTAGCTAGCCTTGGCTCTTCTCCCAATGGCAACCCAGGCTCTTAGGACTCTGGGTCCCGCAAGCTTGTTGACCCACTGGGCAAGCTTCCTAATGTCCTCTCCCAGGCAGATAAACCTTATCTCCAGTTAAATGCATGTTATAAAATCCCTGATGGAATGGCCTTAAGGGAAAGAGTGTTTGGGTCGCAATCCCTGAAAACACATCATAGTCCAGCTATCTAGACTGTTGAGTCCAGCCTTAGTGGGTAAAATCATTCATTTCATGATTTGGTTCTTCTAGCTGTTGAGGCAACAAAAGAAACAGTCATTCAGTTTTTCAGTGAAAGATGAAGACAGAAGGCTTGTTTTTTGTTGTTGTTGCTAAGACTTTGTTTTTAAGAGCAGTTTTAGTTTTACAACAAAATTGAGAGGAAAGTTCAAGTATTTCCCCTATAACCCTTGTACCCACACATTCTACCCTTGTACCTCCTCCTTTATCAATATCACTTGCCAGAATGATACTTTTTTTTTTTTAACCAAGAATGATGTTTACACTGAAACATCATAATTATCTAAAGACCGTAGTTTCCCTTAGGGTTCCCTCTTGGTGTTCATATTCTATGTTTGATCAAAGCGTAGTGCTGTCTGTGTGTGAGAGTGCTGTTGCTCAGTCAGGTCCAACTCTTTGCAACCCCATGGACTACAGACCACTAGGCTCTTCTGTCCATGGGATTCTCCAGGCAAGAATACTGGAGTGGGTTACCATTTTTTCCTCTAGGGGATCTTCCTGTCCCAGGAATAGAACCCACATGGCCTGAGTCTCCTGCATTGGCAGGTGGATTCTTTACCCCTGAGACAGCTGGGAGGCCCATAGTGATATGTATCCATCGTCATAATATCACAGAGAGTATTTTCACTGCTCTAAAAATTTATGTTCTGCCTGTTCATCTCTCCTACTTCCCTTACCCCAATTCCCCAATGGTAGGACGTTTTCACATCACAACACAGACGCATCTTTCTAATAAAAAGAACCGCCTCCCCCTGCCGCCAGAGCTTTTCTGGCCCAATGAGGTTACTTGATCCTGCCTTGTAGGTTTTTTTCTTTTTTCTCTTCCCCCTCTATAAGCAACTAAAAGTAGAGGGAAAACTCTCAACATGGGCATAAGACAATCCTGAGGATCCTCTGGCTCTTTCCCAGAGTCGCTTATTAGAGCCTGCCAGTGAGGACCACATGTGTGCTGAAAGATGAATGGCAAATATCAAAGGATAATAAATAAAAAATAAAAGGAAAATGAGTAACATTTACAAGTGAATTTATGTTTACACAAAATCTTTGTGGAAACATGTCTTTCCACTTTGGAGATTCTGCTCATACATCACGGTGACACTAATGTTGCAAGAAGCACATCCGTCAGGCGGTGGCAACCATTACTTTTTAATAGACCACTCCATTTTCAGCAATCACACTAACAAAATCAGGACAGAGGCCAGTCTGCTTGCAGAAGATGCAAACTCAAGAACACTTGACAGATGTTCCCCTCCACACACAGAGGGCTTCCTCACGTGTAGTCTAGATGCTGGACAGAAGGGGAAAGTCAAGGGAACATCTGACTTAGGTGGATTCTTGCAGAGCCCAGGTAGCATCTGTGTGTTGCCTGAACAGCCAGCGCTGGGTTTTGCATAAAACTGTTCTCATTTTGCCCAGAGGTTTCTGTTCAAGGCCTGGGTATATAGCCTTTGCTCATCAGATTACCTGAGATGCTGAAACAGATGATATGGATCATGTAGGCCGGAGTATATGACTTTACCACTGCTTACCAAAGGACAGTAAGAGAGAGAGAGTGCTTTTTTACCTGTTTGTTTCTGATATATCTGTGACTACAATTCATTCATTCACTCATTTGATGAGTACCTCCTCAATAGTGGGAACTGTCTTAGACTTAGGGAATGTGGATATTCATAAGTCATGGTCCCTGCTCTCAGATGAGAGGAAAAGGCACAAACAGCTATGCTAAATATTGGAACTAATTAAGTGGGACGCCAGAGGTATAAGAAAGGACCTACGGGAGCATAAAGACATAAGTGATTTATGAAGCCTCATGTGAACCCAGAGAAACTTCAGGGAGGGGATATTTTGGACCTTGACTTTGAAGATTAGCTACCAGTTATTATTTATTGGTTTTATTTTATTTTTTTGCCTTATTATATCAGTGGGCTCCAATGATTGGAGTAGTGGAATCTTGGGAGCTATTTTCAGAATTCTTCTTACCACAGTCATTTAAGTGGGGACAGAAGGAAAGAACATTCCAGGCTACATGAAGAGGATAAGCAGAGATACAAGAATTACAGGGCAACAAGTGACTGGGGATCAGCAACACGGAAACCTACTTCAGTCTCAGCTGTGTCCACCTCTACTTCTAACATCCCAGCTGAAACCAGACCAAAGAAAGTGTGTGTGTGTGTGTGTGTGTGTGCGTGCTAAGTCACTTCAGTCATGTCCAGCTCTTCGCAGCCCTATGGACTATAGCCTGCTAGGTTCCTCTGTCCATGGAATTTCCCAGGCAAGCATACTGGAGTGGGTTGCCATGCCCTCCTCCAGGGGATCTTCCCGACCCAGGGATTGAACCCACATCTCCTGTGGCTCCTGCACTGCAGGGAGATTCTTTACCACTGAGCCACGGGGAAGGCCCAAAAGAACGTGAGGGAACATGAAAAACTAAATTATGCTGAGCTGCCTAAATATTCTTCCCTTATATTGCCTATTTCCCCAGAGAGCAAAGACTTCCATTTGGAGAAAGAATGATATAATGATATCAAAATGCACCCACTTTTCAGCCATTCAAGAAGGAAAAGATTTGAATGAGAAGTCCCAGTGCTAACTGGTAAAATTGACACATGGTCAAAAATTGCAGTGTAAATGATACAACTCATTAAGGATACAGATTTGGGCTATGCTAAAGACCTTGATACTGAAAAAAATTGAGGGCAAGAGGAGAAGGGGGCGACAGAGGATGAGATGGTTGGATGGCATCACTGATTCAATGGACATGAGTTTGAGCAAACTCAGGGAGATAGTGATGGACAGAGAAGCCTGGCATGCTGCAGTCCATGGAGTCACAAAGAGTTGGACATGACTTAGCAATTGAACAATAACAACAAAAAGGGTAAAAATATTCATATTCTTCTCTTTTACCTCACTTTGGGCACTTTATACCAAGAAAATAATTCAAAAGAATTTTTTAAATTATGCAATAAAAATATTCTTTATAGTGACATATATATATATACTAATATCTATATGCTTTATTTTATCTAAATGTTCAAAATTGAAAAGTGATTAGGTGAATTGGGGTCTCACTATATTCAAAGGAATATTATGCAGACATTAACATTTGAATTGTGAAGAGTAAAATAAAGTGTGTATGACCCCTTAAGTTTAAAAGTAAAATGCAAAGCCTTATCTAGCCTACTACTATAATTCTGTGAATAATTACTTCTGGAAATAACCGGGATTTGGGAGGGAACTTGGAAAATGAAAAAAGTTTGAGTAGGTCTGCTTTTTCTTTCATTTTAATTTATATTAACAGTGCTATAAGGTTGCTTGTGCAATAAAGAATGATAGTAAACTTTAAAAAAAAAATCATTTATGAACTCCTAACAACTCTGACTACCGTGAATGTCACTGCACTCTCACTGGCTTAAAAGGACCAGAGACAGTTAATCAAACAAACAAAATATAGATTACAAGTCAGGGCCATTGCAAAATGAGCCCTCACCCCTGAGCTCAATGCCTCGAAGCAGCCTGACAACAAGGAAACACAAGTACATTTCCCTTTCATCCCTTCTTCATTTTATTTCAAGGGGAAGAAAAGAACATGTGCTATTGAAAATTGTGTCTTCTGCCTTGAGAAGCCATGGAGGATGTGAGGAGGTAAAGAGAATCAGTACAATTGTGAATTGGAGAGAGAGAGAGAAAAAATATCTTGCTTCTTTGCAAAACTGTCTTACAAAAGACCCCTCGTGTACAGAGTTATTAATTAAGAGATGCTTTGTTTTTCATTAATCACTTGAGTTTGGGAGTTCTAGTTAAAAGCATCTCTTAAATGAATTTGCATTCCTAACCTGAACTGGGCAGGCCTTCTATTCAACTGCTGCCCAGTGATTTGAAAAGCTAATAAACCCCCAATCAAGCCCTTTAGCCAAAAGTTAAACTAACCTGCCACATCTACTGTATAAACTCCTTTATTTGCAAATACCCAGTCTCACCTGCCTCCTGCCTCCTAAGAGGAAATTGGTTTTCATACTGTTTTGCTGGGGATTCGCTCTTTTTCATAATGGGACTCTCACTGTGGAGGTCCACTGGAGGGGATGGCCTGGCAGAGTGCAGAGAAAAAGGCAGTGCCCATTAAGGTCAGAGACTGATCTCTCACCTCTGTTGACTTCTAATTCCCTCCAGTTTAACTTGCATCAAACAAGCAAACATTGTGAAGAAGCAGTTCTATTACCGTATTTAAAATTCCTCTGCTAGTCAGTAGCACTCAGGAAGAATTCCTGTCTCAGCTCCAAGGGATCTATTGCAAATCCTTTAAATTGTCATATTATCCTCTCATTTGCTGCTATTTTAGCAAAGCAAATGATTAAAAATTAAACTTTCATTTAGAAGCATAATTATTTTAAAGGATGTCAAGGCTTCATGTTAAACAAATTTACCTCAGCAAATAGAATGAGGATTTGGAATTCAATTGAGGAGTTAATGAAATAACCATAATTTGGTTAGGTGAATCAACCTACATCATCTTATTTATTTAAAAATTTCTCCCCTTCTTTGCCTGTCATGTATATAGTTGTGTTTTTCCTTTAGTAAATGCCTTAGCTTCACAGAGTGAATCTGAAACATTTTTGTTTTTCATCAGAAAGAGAATTTTCTGAAATTCTCTGAAATTACATGAAAATGAGAATTGATTAAAGTGATTCCCCTCTGAGAGAGTGGGGATTTATAAGTCGCCAACGTGGTGATAATACTAATCTGAATTTCTAATCCTTAAAAATTCCTCATGTTACCTAAAATTTTGTACTAGGTAACTGAGATGAACTAGTTTAGTGTATGAGTTGAAGAAGGCCAATGCCCAGTGCCTAGAAAGCTCTAGACTGAATGAGTGAATGGATAGAACTAATCAACTGGGAAAGGCAGCCCCCTCTTATTGTTTCCAGTAAACTCTGCTTTCCGGAATTCATAGTCTGTGTAATCTCCTCCCTTGAGTATGGACAGGACATAGTGACTTCTTTCTAAGGCAGAGAATGTGGTTGAAGTGATGGCATGTCACTGCCAAGACCAATTTACAAGAGACTACAACTTCCCTTTGGCTCATAGGCCTCTCCTCTCTGCCTCTAGTGGACTAAGACTGTTGCCTGCCGTATCAGTAAACAAAGGCTGCTGCAGCCATCAAACCAGCAGTCCTTGCTGCTGCTAGTGGTGCTCCCAGAGGGGATTCAGGATGGGGAAAAAAAAAGGCAGGATACTGGCCCTACATGGTTAAGGTGCGTATCAAAGGACTTCAATTAACCCAGACTCTTGCATCTTCTCTTAGGTAGAAAACTGCTAAATTCATTAACTTGAGATGTCTGGTTTTCTTTAATTAACAGTAATCTTTTGATGTTCTGACTACCTGGTTTATGTTGCAAAACTCCTCTGTATCCTGGCTCCTCCCTTGCCTCTTCTGAGCGAGGTTCCTCAGAACTATGTGAGAGGTTGTCTTCAGGGCTTGCGTTCTGAGTTTTGTCTGCCAAATAAAGCGTAATTTTCAACTTTTAGGTCATGCTTTCCTTTTTTTCAGTCGACACTGATCAAACAAGCTGCCCTGGAGACAGACCCACACAGCAAGGAGCTAAGGATGTCCTCTAGCCAATGGTCAGCGAGGAACTGAGACTCCGCTCAGTAACCCACAGGAAACTGAATCCTCCCAACCACCATGTGAGAGAGCATGGGAGGTGGGACCCTCTGAGTTGCAGCCTTCAGATGACTGCAGCCCCAGCCAGCATCTCGGTTACAGCCTGTGAGAGACCTAAGCTGTGCCCAGATTCTTCACCAGCAGAAACAATGAGACGAGACAGTAGATGCTTTTTTGTTTGTTTCTGTAACTTATTATTTTGGCTGTGCTGGGTCTTCGTTGCTGGGCGCAGGCTTTCTCTACTTGCAGTGAATGGGGTTGGTTCCTCCTTGCTGTGTGCATGCTTCTCTGGCTGCAGAGTGTGAGCTCTGTGGTCATGGGCTTTGGGAGCTGCAGCATCCAGCCTCAGTAGTCGTGATGCATGGGCTAGGTTGCTCTATGGCATGTGGAATCTTCCCAGACCAGAGGTCGAACCCGTGTCCCTTGTATCGGCAGGGGAACTCTTAACCACTGGACCCCCAAAGGAGTCCCGGTAAATGTTGTTCTTTTAAATCACTGTGTTGTGTTCATCGCTCAGTCGTGTCCGACTCTTTACAACCCCAGGGATTGTAGGCCACCAGACTCCTCTGTCCATGGAATTTTCCAGGCAAGAATACTAGAATGGGCTGCCATTTCCTTTGGGGTAATTTTTTTACACAGCAATAGATAACTAATATGCTAATAAATTCATGCATGGCAGAGCATCACTCCCATGGACACATTCATATTGAAATGTGAGGCTCAGCTTAGCAGGTGACTCAGAGTTGTTTCAGATGATATGGTCTCCATGCTCAAATATATGTGCTAATCCAGTCAGCTGTCCAGGTAGTTGGAACCAGGAGCTGGAGGGGAGGAGGTCACATTAGAGTCACAGTGGAAATGCCACTTCTTTGTCTCTTCCACCTTAAGGTTATACCTCCTGGAAGTTTAAAAGGCCTCTTAGATTTTATTGGGGGCGGGGGATATGGGAGTGGTGGTAGGCAGCCAGATTCCAAATGTATGGGTGTAAACCAAGAGTACAAATGGAAGCCCATATACTAAATGTTTGCGTATTTGAAAGTTACAATGAAGCTACATGTACAGCAAGGCCCATGTTCTCACAGAGAGCTCCTTCTCTCCGCAGCCACATAGCCTCTTCCCAGGAGCCAAAAGAGTCTGCTTTCTATTTACCCTGTGAGCCTGAGTGGGAACACAGGCTGGGGCCGTGCAGGGTGGAAGCCAGGCTGGACTCTTGACTCTGGCCCCTCTAGGGAAGGGAAGCAACCCAGTCCAGCTCCCCAGGGAGCTGGGTCTGGTAGGGAATCCAATCACAGCTCTTAACGATGAAAGGCAAAGCAACTAACTGTGGGCTGAAGCTCTATCAGCTCCTAGAGAGATTTATGCAAATCTTCAGCAGTTCTTCGCCTTCCCAGGTGGCACTAGTGGTAAAGAACCCGCCTGCAACGCAGGAGACAGAAGAGATGAAGGTGAGGTCCCTGAGCGGGGAGGATCCCTGGAAGAGGGCATGGCTTACCCACTCCAGTGTTCTCGCATGAAGAATCCCATGGACGGAGGAGCCTGGAGGGCTACAATCCATAGTGTCGCACAGAATCAGCAGTTCTTAGCTAGAGGAAAGCAGGTTCAATGAGCTCGGTTCACCCTCACAGTTACCATGGAACCATCATCCACAATTAAATGGCCAAAACTAAGGAAAGCCTGGGAGAGTTTCACCACACAGCCACCATTTGCTTAACAATGCAGAGTACAGAACAGCAGTGTACAGTCTGCTGCGTCCTGCACCTGTCGGGCAGGTGTTCTGAACGACCTATGCTTCCAACCTCCAAAGTACCATGTGCAAAAGTCTACTTTTATTCAAGACAAAAATAAGTTTTAGAAAAACAGTAGCAATAGCTAATGTCCACTGAGCGCTTACTGTCCACTGGGCTGCCTGCTTCCTCAGTGACCTCACCAAGCCCTGGGGACAACTCTGTCGCGTAGAGACAAGTACTGTCAGAGGAAGCAGAAGTCTCCAGGGGTTGATTCCTTGTCAGGCGAGCGGCCGAGCAGGGAAGTCAGCATCATTCAAGAGTCGTGTGCTCTTGGCCTGCAGACCCCTTTGGCCAACTGCACTTCAGAAGAATGAACTGTCCTTCGGTGTCCTGTGCTTGAATAAAAGAATCTAAACCCAAAGAGAAGTGACTTGTCCTAGGCCACACATCTCCCTTACCTTTATTCTCTCCATCTATCCTTGCCCTAGCCAGGAGACAGAGCAGAGCCTTTGACATTGAGACCACCCAAGCCTCGTGCACATCCAACCAGCTGAGAAATCCTGGAAAGGTTATTCATCCCCCTTTTTCTCGCTTTCTCACTTACTCATCTGTTTGTTTATTTATTTTACATTTGGCTACGCTGGGTCTTTGTTGCTGCACACAGGCTTTCTCTAGTTGCAGAGAGTCGGGGCTGCTTTCTAGTTGCGGTGCATGGGCTTCTCATTGTGGTGGCTTCTCGTTGCAGAGCACAGGCAGTAAGGTGCAGGTTCAGTAGTCGTGGCACAAGGGCTTAGTTGCCTCACAGCATGTGGAATCTTCCTGGACCAGGGATCAAACCCGTGTCCCCTGCATTGGCAGGTAGATTCTTAACCACTGGACCACCAGGGAAGTCCTGTCTTGTTTTCTATTTCTACCATTTGGGTACGGTGGGATTATGGACTGATTCATCTAAAATGCCAGTACAATTAGTCTTTGTGCAAATGTACATTCTCATTTTATATAATTATTTGTTTTACTTTTGAGCACCAAAAATGTGTAATACAGGTTTGAATACAGTTTCGCCACATCACTCAATATTTAGCATAGGCTACTAGTCCATAATTCATAATATACAGAAGAGGGATGTATGTCAAAGGAGCTAAATCACTTTCCTAAAAAAGTTAACAATACATATTTGTGTGGGTTTCCCTGGTGGCTCAGTGGTAAAGAACCCTCTGCCAATACAGTACACATGGGTTTGACCCCTGGGTCAGGAAGATCCCCTGGAGAAGGAAATGACAACCCACTCTAGTATCTTTGCCAGGGAAATCCCATGGACAGAGGAGCCTGGTGGGCTACAGCCTATGGGATTGCAAAAGAGTTGGACACAACCTAGAAGCTAAACAACAACAAATATATTTCTGTCTAGTATCTGGCAGTCATTATGTAAAGACTCAATGAATGAAAAAAAAACTTCAATTACATACAAGGATCTATCTAATTAGATTATCTACTATATAGTAAAATATGTATATTTTATTACTTTTACTATTTATATAATATTTGATTAATATCACTTTCTCAATAAACTCTAAGCTCTGGCAAGACCTATTTGCTTTGTGCACCAGGACTTAGAACAGTGCCAGACACATTAAAAAAGAAAAAAAAACTCAGTAATTGTATATTCAAATATTTATTGAATGTCCCTAAATATCAGGCCCAGTGCCAGGCACTCAATTGTTATTCCAATGAGTCTCTCCTTTTCCCAGGAGGAGAGAGTTTAATGAAAAGAGCATTAAGGGTCATGATTCTATTCCTGCTTCTGCACTAGCTCTGTGGCCTTGAGCAAGTTACTTAACCTCTCTGAGCCTTAGGGAGGAAAATTCTTATCTCCTGTAGATCCTTCATAAAGCAGTCTTTCTAGAACCTCCCAGGTTGAATGTGCTTCCTTCCCTTCTACTGAGTACAGATAACATCACTTCACACATAGGAAACATACCAAGAGCAGCTGTGAGGTAATTTTAGTGAAAGGTAGGCATGTTATTAAATTGATTATCTTTCAGTTCTTCTTATTACTTCAGGAGAAAGCCTCATTTGACATCTAATAACTCGCTAGAATCTGAAGAGAGAAGGAGCCTCAGGCTCAACGGCTATAGCAAAGCAACACAATCATAGGAGAATTTAATAATAAGGCTTTACTTTCAATATACTCATTTAAGACAAACAGTGCTGTTTTGTCATTTATGATAAGCATATTGAATTTCCCTCCATTTAAAAAAGTGGGTGGCTTTAAATAAAATTATTCAGCCTTGACTGTCACTCGGGGATGGCCTTCTCCCCACCAACCTCAGCCTCCCTCTCAATATTTCCTAACTGCCTCTCCCTGTTAGGTCAAAGGAACCTTTTCTGCTCCAACACTGGGGCCATTACCCTGGACCTGGTCCTGACTGGCCTATGCTGGTCACACTCCTTCCTTGACCCAGTGCCTTTGGCCAGGGGTGGGGTGTGTTGAGGGATTTAGACCCCTGATCAGGATGCAGTAACTTCCATGTTCACGCCAACCTGCTGGGAGTAAGGGAAGGGAATTCCCCAAGAGGAAAATCTAAGAAATGGTCCCCAGGGAAGCCCGGAGCTATTGCTGACCTCCCTGAACCATTTCACTCTGACCCCGAGCTCTAATGCACTCCCCTGCAGGAGTGTGAGAAAAACACTGACCAGTCACACTCCCGTGGCGAAGGCAGAGTGATTGCTCAGCAGTTCAGAGCCGGTCAGAGCCTGCCGCCCATCAGGCGCTCAGGAAGGACGTGTTCCCTCCGTCAGAGAATTCAGGAAGAGTCCAAGGCTGGCGGAAATCACCCTGCTGCCCCTCTCCGCATTCTGTGGGGTGTTAACAGCTCTGCCTTTCTTCTAATAAAACCAGGGGTGGTGCTTCCAAATCTTCTGGAACTGCTGGGGGACTTCATACACACCTGCTGCGGGAGCCCGAGACCCGGGGGCGAGGGGCGGGCCCCGGGGCGCTCCCAGAAAGGCTCACGGCTGCCATCAAGGGGGCCCTGTGCACCCCGTCTCCGGGGTCCTGCGCCCGGCCTGCACGGCAGCCGCTCGTGTCCGGATGCTAGGGACCGGGTCCCAGAAGCCAGGTCTTCGACCGAATGCGGAAGGGGCGGAGAGAGTCGGGATGTGCCCTGCAGGGAGGAGATGGGCCATTCCTCCTGGGGTCCCAGATGGCGTGGGGAAGAAAAGCTATTAACGAGGAAATAAAGAAAACAGCAGGTCAATTAGCGCCACTCGAGCAACCTCAAGGGACCACCTGCTGCTGTGCCCCCGCTACCCCTGGGCGCGCACCCCCGCCCTCCCTTAACCCCGCTCGCCCGGGCCGACTCGGAGCGCGGGTGAGGACGCGCTTCCCCTCTGAGCCCCTAGGGCGTTGAGGATCCGGCTTTTCCTTTTCTTTTTTTAAGTGCTGGTCCGCCTGGCATATGCCTCCCCGCCCCTTCTTTTCACTGTTTTTCTCCTTGCAGTCCTCTTTGCCTCTGCCCCGACGCCCTCTTAAGTGCATTTAGTTGAAGGAAATATTGACCCCCTAGAAGTCTCTTTGCATTGTACCCAAGACAGTATTGGAACATCCTAATGGCCCTAGGAATACCCTTGGGGCCCTTCTTCTCATAAACCAAACCTCTGAAGTGGAAGAAAACCGTTTTCCGATCCTGTCAATCGCCTTTAAACCTGAGACTCAACTAGAGGGACAGGCTTGGACCTTCTAGCTCATAACTCTGCCTGCAGGGCTGAAACCTGTGACACCCCCCTCCCCAAACCCGAGCTCAGTGAGGTTAAGAGGGAAACCAGCTCCCTTCTGTTGAGCATCTACCAGGCCCAGGTCTGACCAGCATCCAAATGCCTAGATGCTGTTACTGAACCCATTTTACAGAAAGGAAGTTGAGGTTTGGGCATGGAGAACTTGCCCAAGGTGCCCTCCTTTGTAAGATGTAGATTTAGGTCAGGAATCCTGGTCTGTGGTTCTTCAAATGCTCTCGAACCTCTTCTCATGCCCCATCTGATTCTCACTGATTACTAGTGATTTTAGCCACCACTCAAGTTAATACAATCAGCTACAAACAGAGTGACTGCTGTTTTCTGTTGTGGCTGTGTTAACCCTTTGTAGACTGCTTGCAGCTTCTAAAACTCCACCTTAAAGAAGACTGTATTTCATTTCCTTGACTAGGCAATAGAGGTGTGGCACTTGTCAGCTCTCCTGCCGGCTGGTGAATCTAGGTGCAATCTGGCATTCACGTGCGTGCACTTTACATAGAAACGCATCTGCCCACACTGATATCAGAATCAAGAAAGCATATTTCCTTGCTTACATTTTCTGATGCAGATTTTTCTTTTTCAGTGTCCTTGGGTTTAAAGCCTTCATAAAGCACTGTAATCTTAAGTCACAGTGACAATGTGTATTTCCTCTTCAGATGTGAGAAATGAGAAAAAGCCATAGTCCTAGATTAATGCCATAGAGTTTAAAATGGAGTGTCTGTCCAAGTCTGAGATTTAGAGCAACATCTTTACCAATTCTCCAGTTTTCCCCTTGAAGAAAAATTTCCATTCTCTTAAGACCTGCTTATTATGTCAGAAGAAAATTCCTTTAGCTGCATCTCTCCTTTTATTTTGTCTTAATGATGTAGCAAAAACTAAATGTACTAATAAAAAATACCTGGATGTCATAGAAGCATCGCAAAAAGAGGACCAACAATCTAAGTTTTAAAAATTAAATTAAGACCTATGCTTTCTAGTTGTTGTTTAGTTGCCAAATTGTGTCCTATTCCTTTGTCACTTCATGGACTATAGCCCGCCAGGGTCCTCTCTCCTTGGGGTTTCGCAGGTAAGAATACTGGAGTGGGTTGCCATTTCCTTTTCCAGGGGATCTTCCTGACCCAGAGGACAAACCCCCATCTCCTGCATTGGCAGGCAGATTCTTTACCACTGAGTCACCAGGGAAACCCCCAAAATATGAAACGCTTCATGAGTTTGTCTGTCATCTTTGCACAGGGGCCACGCTAATCTTCCCATATACCTTCTAGGCTACGAGAAATAGAGCTGTCTCCGTTTATGGAGTGTCTATCATATGCCAGGCCCAGGGCCAGGCCCTGAAAACAAAACAGACTCAGTCCTAGCCTTCCTGGACTCACAGAGTCATGGGGGAGACAGACTTGAGGTCACTAGATGCTAATTAAATCATTCAGGGGGATATGGAAACATAGCAGGAGAATCAAATCTAACCTGGGACCTAGAAAGTTTCCTCAAGGAAGGAAGAATCCCAGCTGAATTGAAAAGGAGAGAGCCAGACAAGGAGAATTTTAAGCTTTGGAGAGCATGCATGAGGACCAGAATTCAGGAGAACCTAGTGGGATGGAAAAACTGAGAAGATTCCAGAATGACTGAAGGGGAAAGAGAAGGAAGAGAGTGGTGACAGGTGACGTTAGAGAAATTCTAGCATATTACTGAACATGACTTTGCCAGGGAATCTACCCTCAGTGCTATAGACCACATAGAGAATAAGAACCATGAGAACAGGGACCAAGCTATACTTTTTTTAAAATATATATTTATTATTTGGCCGCACCAAATAAATTTGCGGCACATGGGATCCTCTATCTTCATTTCGGTATGCAGATCTCTAGTTGTGGCATGTGGGATCTAGTTCCTTAACCAGGAATCGAACTCAGGCCCCTTGCATTGGGAGCACAGAGTCTTTAGCCACTGGATCACCAGGAAAGTCCCTTGTTTGCTGAACTTGCTAGCCCAGGGCTAGCACATGGGAAGTTCTCATAAAACAGCATCTATTTCTACATTATTGTCTCAAATCCTCATGCGTAGTCATCTCCCTTTTTGTTTTCTTCCCTCTCTTCAAGCTAAATGTTGCTCTCATTTCTCCAGTTTTCCTCTTCCCAATTTGAAGGTCATGGATTCTACCTTCTGTATTCATCCCTCTTCTTTCTTCTCATTTTGTTGTATAACATATTTAACAATTCCTTGCAGTGCCAAACAGAAGAGGGAAGTCATCCAGCTAGATTACAAAGGGAAAAAATCCAGGATGCTCTTGCCTCTTAAACAAATATCTGTTTACTCCTAGGATAGCTCAAATCTGGGTAGGGCTAATGGACATTTGCACAGTCAACTGGCAAAATAAGGAGGACTTTCTAGTCGGGACTTTAAGAGACAGATAATTTATACCCGAAGGGAATGTTCTAATTCATCATTAAACTCCCCCTCCTTGATTTCCATGCCCCGGCTTTATCTGGTGCATGGACACTGTTATGTGCCCTGAGTGCCAAACTGGTCCCTCTGGGGCTGGAAAAGCACTTTGGAAACCATGTTCACCGCTGCCATACACACAGTTTTGAGCTGTCAAAGCTCATCTCTCTGCTGTGGCAGAAATCACCAATAACCTTGGCTTCTCAAAAAAATTGGCACAGTGTACTCTCCAGACACTCATGCATATGTTGCATTTTGTTTTGTTTTGTTTTCAAGTACTTTGGTTTCCAGGAGATCTTCTTGGAAACTTACTCAATAAGCAACTTATCCTGAAGTTGCATTTGAATTTGGTTATTTGAGCTCTTCAGCCTTCTGGGACAGTCACCCTTGGTTTAAATGTCTGACTGAGATGACTTACGTTGTCTTCCCACTGTTGGTGACAGGTCGAAAGTTTTCCTCAATAGCTCAAGGACACACGTTCCTGAACCCTCTTGCTCTTTTTTTTTTTTTATGTGGACCATTGTTAAAGTTTTTATTGAATTTGTTATAATATTGCTTCTGTTGTATGTTTTGGTTTTTTGACCAGGAGGCACATGGGATCTTAGTTCCTCAACCAAGGATCGAACCCACACCCTCTGCATTGGAAGACCAAGTATTAACCACCGGTCCACTATGGAAGTCCCCTCTTTGGCTCTTGAATTCCTGTCCAGAGCTCATGCCCCCAGCCCATTCTGCTCAAATGCAAGCAAAGCCACCTCCCTTTCATTTCCCCAGTGCCACCAATCAAGACTCTGTGTGTGACTGGCTGTATATTAATAAAATCTGGAGTCAACAGAAAGTAATTGCAGCATAGGGCAGGGGCTGAACACTGGACATGGATATTTCCCCCAAACCCACCGACTGTGCCCTGGCCAAGACTCTCTCTTCCTGGCTGTAGTCTCTTTGGGCCCTTGGATCACTGGCCCCTTTTCTCCAAGAGCTTTATTCTCTCTCTTTTTCTCCAGATGAATTCCACTATTACCCTGTCATTCAAAAAGCAACTAGAAACATGTTATCTTCTCAAATAGCAATTATTTCCCCCCTGTTGTACTTTTACTGGAGACCCTTCAAGAAGAGGAGTCTGCCTTTAAAAGTCAAAACCTACAAGTTCTGTTTCAAAATTCAACAGCTCCCTTAGACTTGAATCTTCCTGCACCTCCGATTCTCTTGTATGCATGCTAAGTCTCTTCAGCCGTGTCTGACTTTTTGCGATTGTATGGACTGTAGCCCTCCAGGCTCCTCTGTCCATGGGATTCTCCAGGCAACAATACTTGAGTGGATTGCCATTTCCTCCTCCAGGGGATCTTCCTGACCCAGGGATCGAACCTGTGTCTCCTGCATTGCAGGTGGGTTCTTTACCACTAGTGCCACCTGGGAAGCCCCTCCATCCCTTACCCTTTGAGAATGCTATTTCTAAGAGAGAGAAATGGCCCTAAAACTGCTATTTTATGAGAACTTTCTATGTTCTTAGCCATGTGCTTAACAAGTCTTAGTTGATTTCATCTTTATAATGGCCCTATATGATTGGCTCAGTCTATTTTACGGATGATAATCATAATAAAGCTAAGTTTTTTTTTTAACTTATATATTGTGCAACTTTATCTCTCACAGTTCTGGAGACTAGAAAGTCCAAGATAAAGGCACCAGCAGATTTGGTGTTTAGTGAGGGCCCCCTCCTGGTTCATAGATGTCTTTTCACTGTATTCATGGAGCTAAGATGTATTGAGTGCCTGCTATGCCTCCAGTTCTGTGCTAAGCACTTTGCACAGATCACCTTGCTGAATCCTCACAGCTCTATGAAGTTGGGATCATTACCATCCCCATTTCACAG